TTTGCCAAAAAACCTTCCAAATTAATAGAGTCTGTTCTAAATCCCATAAATTACAAGATTATGTTTATAAAGATCTGGTGGATTTGGACAGAGAACATGTAAGTGGGTCTGTCTTACAGTGAAATAATGGCATAAAACCTACAACCATATATCACCACATAAAAAAAATAAAACCCATTAGAAGATGCAGGACTCTGGATGGCTTTGCTATAAGGAATAATTAAAGATCTCCTCTATTTTTCCGCTTCAATCTTCTAAATTTTAATAAGGGCTACCAGCCTAAATGGTCTATTTTTGAAAGACAAATTGTGAATTTAGCATTAAGCATAATGCACACGGCTTAGTGTGAAATAATCGTATTGTCAAAATGCTGTGAAGCCAACAAACATCTGTCCATTTAACTAATCTTACTTATGTTCTTTGAAACCCCACTGTATCACCTTTTCTCTGCACTATCTTTTGTTTATCCCTGAAACACCTGCCTACATTAATATAGTCAAATTTTTAGAACAATGCCTCCTGTCCATATTATAATCTGATAAGATACAGTTTCACAAAATCAGGAAAGAGTGCAAACTGCTTAAGCCCAGAGGCAGCAAAACATTCCCCAACCATGTGTCAGAATTAGAATTTCTTAAGGTTTTAATTGGAAACCTATATAGTTTTTCTGTGATTATCCTTCACCCCAGTATTACTTTGCGGGTTTAATGTGGAGGTTCTACTTTAAAAGTGGTTCTATGTTGATTTGGGCGCGATTCTCAAATATGGATGCTAATATTTTACCTCACCGTTTAAAGGGAAGATACAAGTGGCTTGTACGTGTCTCTTTCTCTTCCTCCCCAACTTGTAAAATACATATTTGGATTTTTCGTTAAGAGGAGCTTTTTAAGCTTTCATATCAACAGATATATGTAGCCTACATTTATTAGGTCTATCTTTCTTTATCTGGTGATAGAGTTGCCACATGGTGTGTGTATGGCAGGCTGTGCATAGGGCGTGCTTTGTTAAATTACATATGGACAATGAAAGGTATGTACAATATTTACAGAAAGTAAGCCATTCATATTTTTAAAGTTCCTCAGTATCAAATGTATCGAATGGCACAACAATCCAAAATTTAAGATCAGGAGAGGTCTAAGTCCAAAATGTATTGAGATGGAGAGTAGAGTGAGGTCATTTTAGAAATTATGAGTGTAGTTTAAATTTCTGAAATGTACTCAAATATATATTTTTTTACAGCTCATTTAATATGCCGATTGCATATAATTTCTTACTTAAATATGAAATCCTGGAAATGTTTGGTTTTTTGGAATTTATTTTTGTGAACAAAATAATTGCCAAGTAATATGTGTAAGTTAAGGATTTTATTAATTTCTTTGTTTTGGTGACAAATAGAGGTAAAGATGGATTGCAATTCTTTCCAAATAGTAACAACCCATCAAATCTTGCTCTATCTGAGAAGTGATATATATAGGGAGTGCCAGCAGCGTTAAAATAGTCTGTCCAATCAGAAGAGCCCACGTTTAGAGACAAACCCGGATGTGAGCCATGTGGACCAATCAGAAAAATGTAGGCCAGTAAGCGAGAGCGAGGCTGAGAACAGACGGAAAGGTATCGCTTTTAAACTACACAGACTGTCGTTGGGTTAGCTTCCCACATTGATTAGAGAAGCTAATTTTTCGTAAAGTAACTTTTTTCATGTTGTGGGTGTTTGGGGCTGCTGTCAAACCACCGGCTCAGCTGAGGAACTTTTTAATTCCTCCTCTTAGTTCCGCCCGGAGGAGTGAGGGACCTGGACCGTAAATATACCACCGGGGCTGTTGTCCGGGCTGTCAGAACGGGTCCAGCCGTTCCCAATGAAACAAAGCGGGAAGCAGAGCCGTGAAGTCCGTCTGCCCGGTGTCCCGGTGTGAGCCGACCCAGAGATGGAGTGGTGTCTGCGGGCAGGAGGTTCCAGCGGGCTACTGTGCTCGCTGGCTCTGCTCTGTGTGCTTTTGGACATCCAGCTAGACGGTGAGACCGCTCTTAGAGCTACAAACAGAAGGGCTGCTAACATAAAAGCA